ACGGGAGGCAAGGGAGGTAAGGGGAACAAGGGAGCCTATAGATTGAGACTTGGGTCATGGAATATAGGAACATTAACGGGTAAATCTATAAAGTTGGTGAAGATCCTCCAGAAGGGGATGGTCAATATAGCGTGTGTCCAGGAGACTAGGTGGGTAGGATCGAAGGCGAGGGATGCGGACGGGTATAAGCTGTGGTACACTGGAGTCCTGAAGGGTAAGAATGGAGCGGGTATTTTGGTGGATAGGGAACTTAGAGAGTCTGTGGTAGAGATTAGGCGGGTGAATGATAGATTAATGACTATTAAGTTGGTGGTTGGAGAGTGCAACCTAAATGTCGTTAGCGCTTATGCGCCGCATGCGGGCTTGGATGAGGAGGTTAAAAGGCGCTTATGGAAGGGGTTGGATGAGATTGTGCGTAATGTTCCGCTTGCTGAGAGGTTATTTATAGGAGGGGATTTCAATGGACATATTGGGTCGGTTGCAGATGGCTATAGCGAGGTGCATGGCGGCTTCGGTTTTCGGGATAAGAACGGAGGAGGTACTTCGCTGTTGGATTTCGCTAAGGCTTTTGAGCTGGTGATTGCGAACTCTAGTTTTCCGAAGAGGGAGGAGCATTTGGTTACTTTCCAAAGTACGATGGCGAAGACTTAGATTGACTATCTCCTCCTTAGAAGATGCGACAAAGGGTTGTGCATGGATTGCAAGGTTGTCCCGGGTGAGATCCTCGCGACGTAGCATAGACTCTTGATGATGGACGTCAGTATTATGATAAAGAGGAAGAAAAGGTCTATACGAGGACGACCGAGGATCTGGTGAGGAGCCTTGACTAAGGATAAAGCTCAAGAGTTGGAGGGGAAGTTATCGGCTATGGGAGCCTGGAAGAGTAGTGGGGATGCGAGCGATATGTGGTCGACGACGACACTGTATAAGGGAGGCGGCGAGAGAGGTGTTAGGGGTCTCGACGGGCTAATCTGGCGGGAACAAAAGCGACTGGTAGTGGAATGAAGTGGTCCAAGGTAAAGTAGAAGCGAAGAAAGCGGCGTACCTAAAGTTAGTAGGGAGCATAGGTGAGGATGAGAAGAGAGCGAACATAGAGAGGTATAAGGTAGCTAGGAAGGAGGCGAAACTGGCGGTCACGGAGGCTAAGACTGCGACTTTTGGTCGTCTGTACGAGGAACTAGGGGACAAAGGCGGGGAGAAAAAGTTATTCCGGCTGGCCAAGGCGAGAGAGAGGAAGGCTCGGGATCTAGACCAAGTGAGGTGCATCAAAGACGAGGATGGTAGAGTATTGATGGGAGAGGCCCAGATTAAGTGGAGATGACAAACTTGCTTTCATAACTTCTGAATGAAGAAGGGGATCTGGATATTGTGCTAGGTGAATTGAGGCATTCTGAGAGTCACTGTGACTTTAGGTACTGTAGGCACATCAAGGTTGAGGAGGTCGTGAGGGCTATGCGTAAGATGAGTAGGGTTAGAGCAACCGGACCTTCCGGTTAAATATTGGTGGTGTGTGGGAAGAGCAGGCTTGGAGTGGCTGACTGGGCTCTTTAATGTTATTTTCAGGACAAAAAGGATGCCAGATGAGTGGAGGTGGAGTACGGTGGTTCCGTTGTACAAGAACAAAGGTGATATCTAGCGTTGTAACAACTATATGGGTATCAAATTACTGAGTCATACCATGAAAGTTTGGAAGAGGGTGATAAAAGGGAGGGTGAGGAGAATGGTGTCTATATTAGACAACCAGTTCGGGTTCATGCCGGGTCGTTCTACTACGGAAGCTATCCACCTTATTAGGAGATTGGTGGGGCATGGCAGGGATATGAAGAAGGATTTGCACATAGTGTTTATTGATCCGGAGAGAGCGTATGACAAGGTTCCTAGAGAGGTTCTTTGGAGATGTTCGGAGGCAAAAGTTGTGCCGGTTGCTTACATTAGGGCGATTAAGGACATGTATGATGGAGCTAAGACTCGGGTTAGGACAGTGGGAGGTGACTCAGAGCATTTTTCGATTGTTATGGGGTTACACCAAGGATTTGCGCTCAACCCGTTCTTATTTGCCCCGGTGATGGACGCAATGATACACCATATTCAAGGGGAAGTGTCATGGTGTATGTTATTGGCTGACGACATAGTTCTGATTGATGAGACGCGAGGTGGCGTTAACGAGAGACTGGAGGTTTGGAGACAAGCCCTTGAGTCTAAGAGTTTCAAGTTCTAAGAGTTTCAAGTTGAGCAGGACTAAGACGGAATAACTGGAGTGCAAGTTCAGCGCCGAGCCGAGAGAAACGGGCATGGACGCGAGGCTTGAATCACATGTCATCCCCAGGAGAGGCAGTTTCAAGTACCTTGGGTCCATTATCCAAGGGGATGGGGAGATCGACGAGTATGTCACACACCGTATAGGGGTGAGGTGGATGAAGGGAAGGTTAGCATATGGAGTCCTGTATGACAAGAAAGTGCCACCGATACTCAAAGGTAAGTTTTATAAGCGGTGGTTACACCGGTCACACATGGGGCTGAGTGTTGGCCAGTTAAGAACTCACATATCCAGAAGATGAAAGTAGCAGAAACGAGGATGTTGCGGTGGATGTGCGGGCACACTAGGATGGATAAGATTAAGAATGAGGATATTCGGGAGAAGGTGGGCGTGGCCCCCATGGATGACAAGATGCAGGAAGTGAGGCTCAGATGGTTCGGGCACGTATACAAAGGAGAAGCCTAGATGCCCCGGTAAGGAGGTGTGAGTGGATGGTTTTGGAAGGCACGAGAAGAGGTAGAGGGCGGCCTAAGAAGTATTGGGGAGAGGTGATCAGGCAGGACATGGCGTGACTTCAGATTTCCGAGGATATGACCCTTGATAGGAAGCTGTGGATTTCCGAGGACATGGCCCTCACGCGCCATCGCAAGAAGTTTTTCCGGCGAGGTTCTGATGACACGCCTTGGCGCGTGAGGCATATTTCGGCTATTTTCCAACGATAATTCTTCAGGACAGATTGTTCGCAAGGAATTTCGACCCTACCCATCCAGTTTACACCTAATTCCGATGACTTTTTTATTTTTTTCGGCGAGTTATTTGCAGTTTCAAGACAAGAGTGAGTTGCTCTAGTGGTAAGCACTTTCCACTTCCAACCAAAAGGTTGTGAGTTCGAGTCACCCCAAGAGTAAGGTGGGGAGTTCTTGCGGGCACACCACTGATTGCATCTTCTGAATAAATATATCAACCTCATGCATTTCTTTTTCGAAGAGATTCCTTCTGAACTGGAAGTCCCAACCTGTATCAGAAAATATATCAGCTAAGAGGATTTTTGGATTATTGGTCAATCTGTACAGGTTGGTAAATTGAATTTTCAGCAGACCAGAACCATCCCAATTATCTTCCCAAAGTCTGATTTTTTTCCCGTTGCCCACCCTCAAGCCAACATACATGTTAAATTTCTCCCATAGGTTACAAATCTGTCTCCAAACAGCTACTCCATATGGAGTCTTCACTGTTTTAGGTGCAAAGAAGCCCTCTTTTCCATATATCACCTCTACCACTGCTTTCCAGGGAGCTTTTTTCCCATCGTTTAACCTCCATAGCCATTTGCATAGCAGGCTCTGATTGTGAGCTCTAAGATTTCTAACTCCCAGACCCCCTTCTTTCTTATGTTTTGTTACAATGCTCCACTTTACTAAATGATATTTTCTCCTTTCTGCATCACCTTCCCACAAAAATTTCTTCCTGATTTTATGTTTTATCAATTTTCTTCTCCACACTAGCTGGTATAGGGATCAGAGACATTAGATAGGTTGGTATTCCATCAAGAACACTGTTTACTAATGTCAATCTGCCCCCAAGTGATAAGTATTGCTGCTTCCAAGGAGCCAATATTTTTTCACACTTGTCAATTACACCATTCCACACTGATTTGTCCTTGAATTTTGCACCTACAGGCAATCCCAAATAGGTAGTAGGAAACTTTTCAACCTTGCAACCCATGATATCAGCTAACATATTAATATCACTGTCAGCATTCAAAGAAAACATTGAACTCTTGGCCAGGTTTATTTTTAATCCTGTCACTGCTTCAAAAGCCAACAGAACCACCCTCAAGTGAAGCACTTGATCTCTATCAGCCTCACACATCAACAAGGTATCATCAGCATAAAGACTATGAGAAATTTCTATACTATTTCCTGAATGACCCTCCATTTTAAAGCCTTTTATCCATCCACTTCTCACAGCAGTTTTAATCATCTGACTCAACACCTCCATTACTAGAAGAAACAAGTAGGGGACAAAGGGTCTCCTTGCCTAAAACCTCTTCGAGAATTAAAGTAACCTACTGGACTACCATTGATTAGTATTGAGAACTTTGTAGTGGAGACACAAAATTTTATCCATTGAATCCACTTACCTCCAAAATTCATCTTTTCCAGCAACTTCAGCAGACAAGGCCAATTGACATGATCATAGGCCTTTTCTAAGTCCAATTTGAACACTACTCCAGGCAATTTTCTTTTCCAGTAGTAGTCTATACATTCATTTGCCAACAGTGATGCATCTGCAATTTGTCTACCTTTCAAAAAGGCAATCTGATTCTCAGAGACCAATTTGTTGATCACCAACTTCATTCTCTCAGTAAGGACTTTTGCTATCAACTTGTATATACTCCCAAGCAAACTAATAGGTCTGAATTCCTTGATGTTGGCAGCTCCTTTCTTCTTTGGAATCAAAGCAATGAAGGTTGAGTTAAAACTTCTAACAAATTCTCCTTCTCTGTAAAATACCTCAAATGTCTTCAGAACATCTTCTTTCACAATATGCTAGCATTTTTTGAAGAAACACATATTAAAGCCATCTGGACCAGGCGCCTTATCCCCTTCTACCATTTTAACTACTCTTGTTACCTCTATTTCATCAAAAGGTCTCTCCAACCACTCTTTTCCTTGTTCACTGATGCTAGCAAGTTCTGAACAATTCCATGAAGGTCTCCAGCTCTCTTTTTCTGAAAAAAGATCTTTATAGAACTCAAGTATGCGGTTTCTAATAAAATTTTTGTCATCTGTGAAGTCCCCATCTATTTCTAGCTTATCAATCCAATTATATCTCCTATTTGAATTTGCTATTTTGTGAAAAAATTTGGTGTTCTTATCCCCTTGCTTAATCCATAAAAATCTGGATTTTTGTCTCCAATGTATCTCTTCTACCTTAGCTATGTGGTGCAACTCATTTGTTAATGCATTTCTAACAGGTTCTTCTTCCGCTGTGTTACTATCATGACTATCATTCTGCTGCTCCATCTCCAGTTGATGCAAGATCTGGTCTTTTCTTGTTCCCAGGTGCCCAAAAGTTTCTTTGTTCCACTTCTTTAAATCTTCTTTTAACTTTCTAAGCTTTTTTGCTAGAACCACATTTGGTCTTCCTTGAAAATCATACGAATTCCACCAATTCTCCACTGTGCTTATAAAATTAACATGTTCAAACCACATATTTTCAAACTTGAAATACCCTTTACTTCTCTCCCATTCCCCACACTCCAATAGTATTGGACAGTGGTCTGACTCCACCCTAGGAAGCACGCTTTGTTTAATAGCTTTGAAGGAATCATCCCATTGACTTGAAATTAAAAATCTATCTATTCTTGAGGCTGAATGTTCATTATTCCTCTGAACCATGTGTACTGCCCACCATGTAAAGGAAGATCAATTAGCTCCATATCATCAATGAACCTTGAGAAATCTCTCATAGCCCTAGTATTTTTTGCCCTTCCAGTTCTTTCATCCTCAAACCTGGTGATATTAAAATCGCCTCCAACTACCCAAGGCCAATCTTCTAAACCTGCAACTGCCCCAAGTTCTTTCCATAGTTCTTTCCTCCTCTTTCTATCACAAGGCCCATATACCCTAGAGAATGAAAATTTAAAATCAGAGTTTTTATCGTCCAAAAATACACTTGCTGAATACTCCCTGTGAGAAGGCACGGGAGAAAATATGTTATTGATATTGGATCATAAATACAATACAAGAGATCCCTATTTATTGCTATACACTACAAGGAGATGTTACTCCTCTTCCAATGTGGGACAAGACTACACTATACATATCTGTAAACTAACACTTCCCCTAAAGCCGGTGCATACACATCATATGTACCGAACTTGTTACACATGTAACTAATACGAGAACCAGTAAGAGACTTAGTGAAAATATCTGCTAGTTGATCATTCGACTTTACAAACTTTGTAACAATATCTTCTGAAAGTATTTTTTCTCTTACAAAGTGATAGTCGATCTCAATGTGTTTAGTCCTCTCATGGAACACCGGATTTGACACAATATGAAAAGCAGCTTGGTTATCACACACCAGTTCCATCTTGTTGATTTCTCCGAACTTTTAACTCCTTGAGCAACTGCTTGACCCAAACTAACTCACACGTTGCCATAGCCATGGCCCGATATTCGGCTTCGGCGCTAGATCGAGCAACTACATTTTGTTTCTTGCTTTTCCACGAGAC